CAGGGCGTCCGGCTCGCTCCCCAGCCCCTCGAGGAGGCCACCGGCCCCGGGGTGCGATCTGAGCCGGGCAGGCGTGTCTCCACCGCCCCACGCACTCCGTGCCTCCTCCCTTTCCCCGGGAACCCTCCCCTAAGCGGGGATGCCGCGCCACCCCCGCTCACGTCCGGGTGCCCCAGTTCCAATAAGGGAGCAGAGAGTGGGGCTCAGGGGTGCCTCACCACCCTACTCGCCCCCAGGCGCCCCAGCTTTGGGAAGGAGCGACAAACGGGGCGCGGGGGGGGGCGGGGGCGCAACTTTTCACTCTCTGCTGTGCTTCCCTCCGGCGGGGGCACGACCGCGGACGCGCAGCCGGAGCGCACGGAGGGGTCGAGGCAGCGCCCGCGCCCGTGTCTGCGCGTCCCGACCGCGCGGAGCGCAGGAACGGGAGCGACTCTCGGGGGGTTCGTAAACGTACAGGGGGGGCGCTTTTCACCCCGAAAAGGGAGAGACAGTCGCTCCAAGACCCCACCCTTGCAGCCCCGGGCGGACCGGGCGGGGAGACGCCGTGGGACTGATCAGTCACCCGCGGAAAGGCAGGGACCCAGCCGGCTGCCCTCGCGGGGCCTGCTCCGCGGTCCTGTCGCGGCCGCGGGTGTCGGGGTGTCAGACCCCCTCCCCCCGAGCTGCGGCACCTCCGCCCCGAGGGCCGCGCGGGGAGGAAGGAAGAGTCTGCAACCGAACTGTGAGGGCGCGGGGTGGGAATTAGGGGCGCCTGGAAGGCGTTGGGCCCGATGACCAGTGGTCCTGGGAGCTGACCGTAGGCGGCCGGCCTGCTGTCCCCGAGAGTGGACTCTGGGTCGCGCACGCCCGCGCTCCCGGGTGGCTCCAAAGCCCTGTCGCGGGCCCGCCGCGCGCCCTCCCCACCGGGCGCACCTCGCAGGCTCCGGGCAGAGTGGGTTTGTCCGCGCGCAGAGACTATACCTTTGAAGACAAATTAGTCTGTTTGCTGACACATTTAGTCTAGTTTCATCTTCGCCCCTCCCCGCCCGGCGGGGGGGATGTTTACTTGTTTTCAGTTTTTCGAGTGGTTTGGAGGTTTCGCTTAATTAACGCCGCGTTGCCCAGCTCCCCGCGCGCCGAGGCGCTGGGGGCGCGGCGCTGACGTGGGGGGATGAGAGACGGGAAGGCTGTCATTAGCTTGGCACGCTCCATTTCCTTCCCAAAACAGATTTTTTAGGGTAAAACTTAAATTAAAAGAGACGGAAGATGATGTGTGGTTGGGTCTCCCCCCCGCCCCAAATAACCACCATGGCCAGGCAGCTTCTTGAAAATCAGAGGGCACTTAATGTAAAGATAGCGGATGCGCAAAAAGCAGAAAAAGAAAAGAAAAACACCCAGCCTTACCTCCCAATCTATGGTGACTTACTAAAAAATAAAGTAACAATTTATTACGACCCATAAGTACGCTCAGTTGAAACCACTATCTCCGCCGCCTAAAAAGATTCTCGCTGCAGGGGTTTTTAGATAAAGATGTTAATGGTGACTTCAGAAAAGGGCGGGATGGAGAGGCTGGGTGACCTTTTGTCGCCCTAGACTTCAGCGGTGGGTTTGGGATTAACACATTATGGAACTGCAGGACATCTGCAACTGCAGGGGACTTATTCTGATCTGCCTTCCCTGGCACCAGCCGCACAGCCTCAAGGTTTTGCATGTGTGTGGCATTTCTCTACCCCGGGGGGCATGGTGCTTTGGGGTGCACTGGAACTCTCCCTGAAGGTGCAAATCCCCAAACCACCTGGAAAACATTTGTTGTCTACCTGGAAGTTTGCAAACGGGGAAGACATGGCAAAGGCTATTTGTTCTGATCAGCGGCTGCCAGTGACCTCTCTTGCCTTCTCTGCAAATGGGCCCGACTCCTGAAAGAGCATCCTTCCCCCCAAAGGGCTTATCAGAACATTTCTGCACCTACCCGCTGCTGCTGCCCCCTCTCCAAGTGACTGGTCTACAGATGCCCGTTGGTCTCTGTCTACACAAATCTGAGATATTCTGGGATCAAAAACGAAAGAAGACCAAGCAGGCCTAGGCTGAAAGACAGATCTACTTTCACTTTTAAAATAAATGGCGGAACCTATCCAAATCCAAAATGCTCTTGGGTGAAATCAAAACATGAACAGAACGTTCGTTTGGCTCTGGCTATGACACTTCTCAAGGGGAAGCATGGGTCCCAAAGACCATGCTTAACTCAGGGCCTGTCCAGCCTCAGACCAAGCGCTGGCTCGTCCTCTCTAATGTGAGATGTATAAAAGCGAATCAGATTCAAAGGCAACCAGGCCTGTACAGGCAGGAGAAATTCTCTTCATCTCCTTGCAAAGCTATGATGCTGAATTTGCACTGAAAAATCCAACTAAATACAGAACTTAGTGACACGGGTTCAAAGTTAATGTAAGACAAATTCCATCAACCCATTTTCTTATAAACAGAAGTAAATAGACCCTCCCCGAAGGCACCCTGGTAGAGGAACTGTAATACCAACCGCGAGGGAGGGCCAAGAGTATCCCATAAGTGTGCGAGGGTTTTACTTTATGGAAGACACCAGGCAGGTCATTGTAGGCTTGATAAGGGAAGGCGCCACCCAGGAGCTTAACAGCCTGCTAAGGGAGACACAGCGGGTCTGGAAATGAACGCAGCGCGGGGTAGGCAGCGAGGGGGGGTAGGCAGGGAGGGGGAGCATGTCCTCCCCGCCTGGGCAGCCTAAACGAAGATGAAGGGGGCACAGGAGCTGAGCCTTGCAAGGGTTTGGGGTGGGGGGGATGCTTTA